AAGAGACTCGAACATCCTTGGATTATGGTATCCAGGGTGGGGTGTTCCTGAAACCAACCCCCCGAGGATACTGATGGATGACTCAATATGTAGGAGTGGAATTGCTGAGCCATATATTTCTAACCTTTTCATGAAACACCAAACTTCTGCAAAGAAGCTGCAACATTGTCCCTTTCCAATGGCCGCATATAAGGTATCTCTTCCTCCTGAACGACACTAGTTATTGTCCATGTCTCATTATAACCATCTTATTGTGTGTAAAATGAAATCACATTTTGATATTGATTTGGTTAATGATGCTGAGCATCTTTTCATATGCTTATTGGACATTTGTGTATGTATTTAATCCTTGGCAAATTTAAAAATTGGGGCAATTTTCTTTGTATTGTTCAGTTTTTAAACATTTGTTATATATCCTGGATACTAGTCCCTTATTAGATATATGCTTTGCAAAATTTTTCTCCTATTCAGCAGATTGTCCTTTCACTTTAGTTTTTTTAAACATTAAAGAAAATTCTTTATAGGGGAGGTAATTAGATGTATTGATTTATTTTATTTTTCTTGCTAAGCACGCACTCTATCACTTGAGATACCCCCTTCCCCTGTCATTTCAGTTTCTTGATGATGTCCTTTGTAAGAAAAAGGTTTTAATTTTGATGAAGTCCAGTTTATCTGCGTTTATCTTCTGTCACTTCTGCTCTTGGTATTGTATCTAGGAAACCAAAACTTATCCTATTACCACAAAGATTTATACTATGTCTTCTTATAGAAAGTTTATAAGTTTAGTATTTATGTTTCTGTCTGTGATCCATTTTGAATTAAGATTTATTTGTTATATAAAATATGGGGATCCAGATTCCAGATTCATTATTTTGTCTGCTGATACCCAGCCGTCCCTGCACCATTTGTTGAATAGACTATTCTTTCAATGGAGTGTTGTTGGCACTCTTGTGGAAAACTGACTGTAAATGTAAGTTATTCCCCTCTGGGTTTTTATTGTGTCTCATTGATTTATGTATCCAAACTTATGCCAGCATTATACTGACGTGAGTACTATAGCTTTAT